AAAAAAGGGGTGTGTTTTTTAAAAAAAAAAAAAAAAAAAGAACAAAACCCTGCAGCCTGTAACTGGCTGTACACACCCATGGGGCTGCCCAGCTTTGTCTGTCAGGCAGGTCCTGTGCTGCTCAGGCCCATGGGGACATTATCTTCACCTCTCCCTTCAAGCCTCCCTGCTGCAACAGGGCCGGGGAGATAAAGGGTACACTGCTGCAGCAGCAGCTATGCTCGCTGAACCTCCCCTGCCAGCATCATCTGACACATCCCTTGTAATTCCCCAAGAAAGTAGTTGCCTCCATGGAGAAGATCTTCCCCTAAAGTACCATCAAGCTAACGTAATGAGGAGGGGGGAGGGTAGACTCCAGCAAGACCTGATTTAGGATCACCAGTGCCTGCCCTTGGGTTTCAGAAGTGTCTGAGCAGACAGTGATCTCTCCACGCTTGAAAAGCTCGAATAATTTTTGCATGCGGAGAGAAGCTATTTTAACAACTGATGATACATTGTAATAGCACACGAGTTGTACGGAGCATCAAAGTTGTAGGTTAGTTTAAAAATAAATAGATTGGTTTCATATTTTTTAGAATGCTTATTGCTTGCTTATACCAAAGATGATGTTACCTCTAACAACCAAATCGGTTAGGCCAGGATTCAAGTTTTTGAACTGTTTACACCATTTATAGAACAACACAAAGGTGGGCAGTTGAAGCAAAGCCAAATATCTGTGTTTTTGAAACATTGGCAACCTGGCATGCCAGCAAAAGTAGGGATCAGACACTGAAATTAACCTTTGGCATACTTGCCAATTTACTGGAATACCTTTCATTTTTGCCTGATCTGTGTCATCCTTTGCATGTGAATGGAATCTTTACCTTCCACGCAGAACATCTTACACACATTTTGCATTGTTCTTTTTCCAGGTTAAAGAACTCGTTCTTGACAACTGTAGGTCATACGAAGGCAAAATTGAAGGCCTTACAGATGAGTTTGAAGAGCTGGAATTCTTAAGTACAATCAACGTAGGCTTAACCTCAGTTGCAAACTTACCAAAGTTAAACAAACTTAAGAAGGTAAATAAAACGTCCTATGCCATATCCCTCCCTCTTTGCCCTATACCGCATGTGTAAAATAGTTGTTTGTATAAAAATGTAATTTAGCTGACCACACTGCTTTGTGATACATGTTTGCACTAAAAACTCAAGACGTTTATGTGCCTTTTAGCTCGAGCTAAGCGACAACAGAATCTCAGGAGGACTGGAAGTGTTGGCAGAAAAGTGTCCAAACCTCACGCATCTAAATCTAAGCGGCAACAAAATAAAAGATCTCGGTACAATAGAACCGCTGGTAAGTTGATGCGGTACAGGGTGAAATCAAACCCTATTTTGTGATGAGTAGAAGCATTTTGGGCTCGGAAAGCCTGAAGCAACTTGCAGCAGAGTGTCTTTGGTGCTTCTCTCTCTCCGGCCCGGTTGCTGTGGGGCTCAGCCTGGCCCCGGGCTGTCTCGCAGCCCTGCCCCGGGGCTGCGCCGGCAGTGTGAGCGGCTGCTTCCCTCTAGCGGCTGCTGCTCCCCTGCCGCCGGGGCCGGGCTCTCCCCGCGGGCTCTGCGGGAAGCACCGCAGCTTTCCACGGTGGCGTGGGCTGCGGGTCTGTCTCCCAGATGCTGTGCTTGAGCTCGGTGTGTTTTCCCTGAAGTGTTGGGTCTAAAATCACCAGCCACCGCTTCTGCCCAGGGGTGCGGCGTGTGCTGGTGGTAGTAGGGGCCAGCCGTAGCACTGTGTTCCTCCATAATGGGTTTGCTCACTGCAGCTGGGAAGAGGTTGCTGAGCTTCCAACTTATTCCTGCTGGTTTTCATTGCCTCTCCTGCTCATGGTCATTATACTTCTTATTTCAAGTGCTGAGTTCAAGTTTGTCAGGTTGCGGTTCCGAAAAGCATCCGAGTGTCAACTCTGGTAGTGCTGTTTTTCTAGTTTTTGTTTTGTGTGCCCTTTGCTCTCCAGAAATGAAGAGGTTTGGCTCATGCTTATTTCCTAAATACTTGCTCTTAAAATGTCTCAAGGAGCAGTTGTCAGATGAGTCCATCCTGGATCTCCTTTCCCCCAGCAGAAGAGGAGAGCAGAGCAGTTAAACTCATGTAGCAAACAGATGAGAGACAGGATTGTAACTTCTCCCAGTTTCAGGCTTATTGTTCTCTTGATGTCACCGTTGCTCTACATGCTAAACTCCAGAAGGGAGGTATTTCATAAGACTTGATACAAATCCTCAATTGCTTGTGCTTTTATTGTTAGTACTTCGAAGTGCTGTGGGCAATGCAGACCACCTCCTCCTCCTCAAAAACAAAACAAAACAAACAAAAAAACCCTAAAACCAGGAATTTAATTCCTGTTCAATTTCTAAGCTTTTTTTCATTTTTCCAAAGGCTAAGGTACAATCATTAAAATTTTTAAAATCTCTCTTAGCAAAATTCTTGTGTCCAAAGAATAGTCTGTTTCTTCTTCCATTGAAAGTAGTAGTTTAAATATGCCTGACTGCTGGCTCCAATATCTTGCCTTGCACTTCTGGGATAACTGACTGGACTATTATTTATTCTTAGCTTGGTCCCTTGCAGCATGTGTGATTTTGCACCATTACCTCTTTCCATACTTCAGTCTTCTGCTTGGGAGATGCTGAACTTGAGAGAGCGTTTTCCACTCTCAGATACCAAAGCAGCAATGGCCAGGCATTGCAGATTTCTGTTCCACGCCAATTTAGTAGACGGAGACCAAAATGACTCTTTTGTCATGGGAAGCTCTTGAGCACATTAATTCTGGCTGCTGTTGCATTCTCTGCTCTGTAGAGAATTATTGTAACACTGAACTTCAGAGACTTTTCTTTCTTTGCAGAAAAAGTTAGAAAACCTGAAGAGTCTAGATCTTTTCAATTGTGAGGTAACCAACTTGAACGATTATAGAGAAAATGTATTCAAGCTCCTCCCGCAACTCACATACCTCGATGGCTACGATCGGGATGACAAAGAAGCACCGGACTCTGATGCAGAGGGCTACGTGGAGGGCTTAGACGACGAGGGAGGAAGATAAGATGGTATGTGAATTGTGCTACTTGGTGTACGTAAGTTAAAAGATCAATATGCTGCCTAGTACATTTTGCTTCCAGCTCTGACTTGTTGGCAAGAGAAGGGTGTTCTCAGCAGCTCCTTCCTGACTGATGTAAAGGAGAAGTACCTCAGTGTCCTCTGAAGGAACGAGGGGAAAGGAGATGGGCAGGGCCTGAAAGAGCTACTTTCTCAGTCTTATCTCTAGTGAAAGATCGGGATGACAAAGAAGCACCGGACTCTGATGCAGAGGGCTACGTGGAGGGCTTAGACGACGAGGAGGAAGATGAAGATGGTATGTGAATTTGTGCTACTTGTTGTACGTAAGTCGTAAGATTGATAGGCAGCGTGGTACGTTTTGCTTCCAGCTCTGACTTGTTGGCAGGAGAAGGGTGTCCTCAACAGCTCCTTCTGGCTGATACAAAGCAGAAGTATCTCAGTGTCCTCTGAAGGAGCGAGGGGAGAGGAGATGGGCAGGGCCTGAAGGAGCTACTTTCTCAGTCTTATCTCTAGCGAAAGGTGGGGAGTGAAAGGCTGGTAGAAGAAAGGGGCCAGGAGGAATAAGACAAGCAGTAAGACACTGAAAGAGTTCAGGGAACAGTAAACCCCAGGGGATAAGGACACGAGGGAGAAATGGGTAAGAAAGGATGGCATGCACACGCTGCAGTTTTCCAGGAACAGTACAATCGGGGAAGTATGAGCAGTTATGTAGGCCCTGATGGAGAAGGGTAGGGTGGAGAACCAGACTGGGCATAGAAAAAATTAGCTGAGTTCAGGAATTCGGTAAGGAGCCAAGGCATTAATAGGAGGTTGTAGCTGCTCTGTGAGGACAAAGTGAACTAGTTGGTATCAGGCAGAAGAGAGGAGAGTGTGTGTATTGAAGCCTGCCTGGGGCAAGCTCTGTGAAAGGCACTAACGAAGCACCAAGCAACTTTTAGGAAAATGCATGGTGGGTCCCACTGTGCTGTAGGTGCCATTCTGCCTCCCCGGCAGACTGCACTCGGAGGCATCAGTGGACCAGTCGGATGAGTATCCGGCTGAGTTTGGGGAATTTGCTAGACTCTTCAAACCCAGCTGCACAGCAAAAGCAGAATAGCTGGACTTGCACTTTTCCCTCGAGTGCTGAATGTGAGCTCTGGTGAGAGGGGCGAGTGCTGCAGCAGTGCCTGGCAGAGTGGTGCATTCAGCCAGGTTCAGCAGGGACAGGTTCTCCTCATCAAAGCACAAGTCTGGGCCTGCAGTCAAATGCATGAAAAAGCTCCGAAACACCATTCCTGCAGCATGGAAAAACAATTTCTGGTTTGTTGCTTGGGCTAGTTGCATTTAATCTCTTTCCTCTTGAAAAGAGATTGCAAACCCGTAAGATGGATTGTGTGTGACCCTCTTGTATTGCTCTGGCAGCATAAAGGCAAGAGGCCTCGCTTGGAGAGGGTTCCCAGTGCATGGCTGGCTTGTAAAGTTCTACTCTATCCCTGGTGGGAGCAGATGGACACTTGCAGATGAGGAGCTGCAAGTGTCCCACGGGCTCAAAAATGCATATTAGTAGTGGGAACTGGAGTAGCTGAAGCTAAAGCAGTCCTGAGGCTGCCATGACTTACTGTCAAGGTCCCTGCAGCCCTAGAGCAGCTCAGACCATGGGTGCAGCTGCCACACTACCCTGTCACTAGGCTAAAGAGGCACAGGACTACATCTAGCCCTGTCTAGCGGCTGAAGAGCTGCCTTTGATTCCGTACTGCCCTTAAGCAATGCTTTCAGTTTGCTCCTTGTGTTGGTAGGAGGTCACATCTCAGGTGGCAATGTTGGGAAAAAAAGTAAACTTTAAATGTCTGAGTGGTTAATCTTGTTTGACTGTATAGAAGAGGAGTATGATGATGATGCTCAGGTAGTAGAAGATGAAGAAGACGAGGAGGAAGAGGAGGAAGGAGAAGAGGAGGATGTGAGCGGAGAAGAGGAGGTAAGGATTTATGCAGTTAATAATGGGTGTGGAGTGAACATTCTCTAACGGGGAATAGTTGGGCAAGAAATGGACCAAATATTGGAAGCTTTTAGTACTTGAAGCGTGTGCTTTCTTTTTTACTTGAGAAGCATCGCAGTGGGGGGTGGCTTTGAGGTGTGCCTGTCTATGAGCCAGCTGCCATCTAGTGACCATTGACATGAAATCGTTCTGTTTATTGGGCTGTCAAAAAATACCATTAGGAACGTCTGCAGATCTAGTTTGTGGTGCTTTTGAAGGGCTGGGGTTACAGCCTCCGTACAGACGAGAGCGTGGTACATGAATTACTGACCCTGTGCTTTCATAGCAAGGTTCCTCCTTGAGCATGTACCTTGTGATTCTTCAGGATGCTTAAATTCTTAGTGCGGTCCAGCTCCTGTGTGTAGGGTGTGATGAGCCAGTCACAGTCTGCTGAGACTTTGCTGTTAGCACAACCACTGGGAATGGGGCTAAAATTTGACTGTAGGAGGTCGTATTACCTGTCCTCCGGCCAAACGGTCTTAGATTCTTAACTGCCACTCCTGAATGGTTGGTCAGCTTCTTCTCAAAGACGACAGCAGCTCCTCAGGCTCTGGAGATGTCTGTTCATGTTTTAACTCTCTCTACCCCTAGAACATGTGCCTTCTCCTACTGACCAGTCGTCAAGTTTTACTGAACTCAGGACATCATAACAAAATTTGCAGCTAGATGTCAGCATAAAGTATAAAACTATTTTCTCGCTGAAGACTTGAAGCTGGAAGTGGCTGCTATGATTGCTTGTGATTGTCTGCAGTGAAACTTGGGCCAGAGTCCACTTATACTGTAGCAAAAAACTTCAGCGACTGCACTTACATAAGTGCGTGGGAAGTGTCTGCCTTTTTGTTTGGTTTTTGTTTAAGATGCTTCAAGGACTTTCTCTCTGCTGTAAAATGCTGTTGGATATTGCCAAGCTGTGAAAGGTCCTGCACTGAAACCAACTTTTTTAATCCTTCCTTTTTTTTTTTTTTTAATCCAGGAGGATGAAGAAGGCTACAATGATGGTGAGGTAGATGACGATGAAGATGAAGAAGAGCCCGGTATGGCAGTAATCCAGTTTTTGCTAGAGATAAAATAATAATAATATCAAAGTAAAATACCGTTTTCTAAAAAGCAGGCTCACGTTTGTATTTCTGCTCCTTTGATAGCAAGCCAGTTGCCAAAGTAGAAGCTTGTTGAACTTGTTCAACTTTTCAGCAGCATGAGGGAGCACTCATATAATTCAAGTTGTGTTTTATTTTCTAGATGAAGAACGGGGACAGAAGAGAAAACGAGAACCTGAAGACGAAGGGGATGAAGACGACTAAACTGAATAACCTATTTTGAAAATTTCCTATTGTGATTTGACTGTTTTTACCCTGTATTTCCCCTCCCCACACCCCCAACCTTTTTTTCTTTTTTTTTTTTTTTTCCTCCCCCCTGAAGGTAATGTTGCTGTGGGAACGAGAGGGAGAAGCAGACTGGGTGGGCAAGGGAATAAAATACTATTTTTACTGCCACTCCTCCTCCTATTCATTTTAAATTTTTTTCTTTTTGTCCCTCTCTTAGTCCCTGTAACTGCAATAGTAAGTATAAACCAAGTGGTAATTTGTTTCTTATTATTGGAGTGGATAGTTTGACATCTTTTAAAAAAAAAAAAAAAAAAAAAAAAATTAAAAAGTTTAAGATTAGTGGATGATACCCCAAATACACATACTCTGTTCTGAGACAGCTAAATAGCGTTGGTTGTCGGGATTTTTCCACCGCTGCCAGTCACTAAATACATTGTAAGCATTTTTTGGGGGATGCTGCAAATCTAGGCGAAGCGTCCCTCCACAGCAACAGGTGTGAGAATGGCATATTGATAAAGTGATTTCTTTGTTGCCTGTCCGTGAATGACTGCCATTTTCAGCCAATGCTTTCCCTGCTTTTGTAGGTACCTTTTATTTTGCTGTTTGTAAATAGTGACCAAATGTTTTTGTTGGGTTTTTTGGGGTGTTCCTTTGGATCTGGTTTGTGGGGTGAATTTGCAATCCCCCCCCTTCCCTGCCCTGTGTGTTGTGTGTTTTTCTTTCTGTTTGTTTTTGGGGGGTTTTTTTGGCTAGGGTATACCAATACACTGAAAATGGCAGGCATTTAAAATATATATAAATATATATAAAAAGTGTTCCTAATTCCTGAGTTACTAGTGAAATGAATTTGACAATTGTAATAAAAAAATGTTTCAACCCTTTTAAATAAGGTGTGTACTATTTTGGTCTGTAATATATAACACCTAGTCAATTTTAAGTGATGAGAAACTACTTCCACTTGTGCTATATACTTTGAAAATTTTTACAAACCTAAATACAGGAGGCAGTTCAGCATGTAGGGTAGGAGGTTTCTTTTCATACACTCAAGCACGAGATACTAATACAAAATTGTATTTTCTTACCTAGTGGAAGTCAGTAAAATGACTGAAAATACCTAGTGAATGTACAGTTTTACTTTCATATCCCTCTTTAAAATAGCTTTAGAAGTGACTTGTATTTCCTAGTCAATATTTCATCTGTATAAATACATTTGCAACAGTTTTTTTTTCCCAGAAGAGCCAAACTTTTGAGTTTTATGTCTGTTTGTCATTGATGAATTTCAATAAATCTTTTTATACAATTTTTCTGTGGCTTATTTGAGTAAAATGGGCCACTGGGAAGGAATTGCATACTTTTTTAAAAAGGCATTTACTAAGCTATTCTGGTAAATTCCCTGATATTTTTAGTAGCTTGATGATACGTTTTGCTCCATAAAAACTACTCTTAGCCATGGTTGGGTGAAACCAAGGGAAAAGTTTTGGCTTTAATGCAAATAACGGTATGCCATTTTTCTTTCAGAATGAGGGTTTCTTCTGTGTTACCAGCATGATTATTGCAGTTAAGCGTGTTCATTTCTACTGTTTAACCCTATCCCTATTTATCTAGGCCCAGAGGAAAGAACTCTTGATTCCTTCGTCTGAGTGAGGTGCTGTGGTTCGGTGTGTGAGTTCTGGGTTAGTATATCTAGGAGCTGTGGTCATCTGAGATGAGGGCTGTCTGCTGTGACTTACTGCCAGTCCAGAGCTAAGTCTCCGCGTTTTCCTCTCTTGTGAATGAGTTGTGTATTAAAGGTGAATGGCATAGCAAGTAGCATATACTGTGTACTTAAAATTAAGTTTCTGTGCCGTGCAAGAGCATGAGAAGCTGTGGAAGGTCACATATTGCTCCTTCTTAACTGGATCTCTTTGGAAAAAGACATGCCTTTTTTGTAGGTGGGAAACTACACTAACCTGAAGCATTTGTGTAGGGTGGGGCTTTTTTGTTTGTATGTTTTTCAAGAGGAAATACAAACTGCTCCCTCCCCAGCCAGGATCTGCTGCTGTGACACCGAAACCACGAACTGGCAGGGCCAGGTCAAGCTCCTACAAAGCACATAGCAGCCACCAGCCCTGGCTAACACAGGGGCAGGGCCAGCAGCTCTAGAGCTACAACCCGAACAGAGCCCTTGTGTCACTCTAAACCAGCTTAGTCTAAGACTTCAGCTTGGCTTTATACTGGGAAACTCGCTTTTCCAAAGACATAGCTTTTTACTCGAGCTGTTAGAAGGAATCGGCGGCAACTGGACGTGACCTTTCCTGCACGATGAGCCTCTGTAGGTCCCAGAGATGTAGCAAATGAGCACGCCCAGATGAACGTCCCCTTTGCATGCAGAAGATGCAGCAATACCAGGCTCACGCGGTGATGCTGAAGTGACGTTTGGTTTAACCTTTGTGACCCATGGGCTTTAGTGAGCCACCTCTGGCTTGCAAAGCAGTTTTTCCTGTTACCCTGGAAGCACTTGGAAACCCTTCAGCTCTTCACCCTGTGTAAGTAGTGAATGGCCCAGGTGTCATTTAAGTGATTCTTCTCTTTGTACTGTTAATTGTTTCAAAGCTTACTTTGGAATTAATTAGGTTTCTCAAAGAAAACTGCAGCAGTAAGACCTTTGCTACCCATGCCTAGTATTTGCTGTTTTCCCTGTGAACCAGGCTCTTGTTTGCTGTTCAGCTCTGTTGAAGCACTAATCCTCCGGGGAGAGGGGAGGCCAGTATCTGATGAACAGCAAGATTTTGACTGTGTGTGCTGGGAGGGGGGAACTAAGTGACTTCTGACTGCCTACTGCCACTGAAAACAAAAATGAGGTTTGCCCAGTGTGGATAATTTCATAGTTATTCCATATTTCGTAGTATATAGGTACGGTCTTGTCATGCTGAGAACCAAGGGCTTGTTTCCCCAAGTGCTCTGTGTGTTAAAATACTTCCACTTGTGCTATATACTTTGAAAATCTTTACAAACCTAAATACAGGAGGCAGTTCAGCATGTAGGGTAGGAGGTTTCTTTTCATACACTCAAGCACGAGATACTAATACAAAATTGTATTTTCTTACCTAGTGGAAGTCAGTAAAATGACTGAAAATACCTAGTGAATGTACAGTTTTACTTTCATATCCCTCTTTAAAATAGCTTTAGAAGTGACTTGTATTTCCTAGTCAATATTTCATCTGTATAAATACATTTGCAACAGTTTTTTTTTCCCAGAAGAGCCAAACTTTTGAGTTTTATGTCTGTTTGTCATTGATGAATTTCAATAAATCTTTTTATACAATTTTTCTGTGGCTTATTTGAGTAAAATGGGCCACTGGGAAGGAATTGCATACTTTTTTAAAAAGGCATTTACTAAGCTATTCTGGTAAATTCCCTGATATTTTTAGTAGCTTGATGATACGTTTTGCTCCATAAAAACTACTCTTAGCCATGGTTGGGTGAAACCAAGGGAAAAGTTTTGGCTTTAATGCAAATAACGGTATGCCATTTTTCTTTCAGAATGAGGGTTTCTTCTGTGTTACCAGCATGATTATTGCAGTTAAGCGTGTTCATTTCTACTGTTTAACCCTATCCCTATTTATCTAGGCCCAGAGGAAAGAACTCTTGATTCCTTCGTCTGAGTGAGGTGCTGTGGTTCGGTGTGTGAGTTCTGGGTTAGTATATCTAGGAGCTGTGGTCATCTGAGATGAGGGCTGTCTGCTGTGACTTACTGCCAGTCCAGAGCTAAGTCTCCGCGTTTTCCTCTCTTGTGAATGAGTTGTGTATTAAAGGTGAATGGCATAGCAAGTAGCATATACTGTGTACTTAAAATTAAGTTTCTGTGCCGTGCAAGAGCATGAGAAGCTGTGGAAGGTCACATATTGCTCCTTCTTAACTGGATCTCTTTGGAAAAAGACATGCCTTTTTTGTAGGTGGGAAACTACACTAACCTGAAGCATTTGTGTAGGGTGGGGCTTTTTTGTTTGTATGTTTTTCAAGAGGAAATACAAACTGCTCCCTCCCCAGCCAGGATCTGCTGCTGTGACACCGAAACCACGAACTGGCAGGGCCAGGTCAAGCTCCTACAAAGCACATAGCAGCCACCAGCCCTGGCTAACACAGGGGCAGGGCCAGCAGCTCTAGAGCTACAACCCGAACAGAGCCCTTGTGTCACTCTAAACCAGCTTAGTCTAAGACTTCAGCTTGGCTTTATACTGGGAAACTCGCTTTTCCAAAGACATAGCTTTTTACTCGAGCTGTTAGAAGGAATCGGCGGCAACTGGACGTGACCTTTCCTGCACGATGAGCCTCTGTAGGTCCCAGAGATGTAGCAAATGAGCACGCCCAGATGAACGTCCCCTTTGCATGCAGAAGATGCAGCAATACCAGGCTCACGCGGTGATGCTGAAGTGACGTTTGGTTTAACCTTTGTGACCCATGGGCTTTAGTGAGCCACCTCTGGCTTGCAAAGCAGTTTTTCCTGTTACCCTGGAAGCACTTGGAAACCCTTCAGCTCTTCACCCTGTGTAAGTAGTGAATGGCCCAGGTGTCATTTAAGTGATTCTTCTCTTTGTACTGTTAATTGTTTCAAAGCTTACTTTGGAATTAATTAGGTTTCTCAAAGAAAACTGCAGCAGTAAGACCTTTGCTACCCATGCCTAGTATTTGCTGTTTTCCCTGTGAACCAGGCTCTTGTTTGCTGTTCAGCTCTGTTGAAGCACTAATCCTCCGGGGAGAGGGGAGGCCAGTATCTGATGAACAGCAAGATTTTGACTGTGTGTGCTGGGAGGGGGGAACTAAGTGACTTCTGACTGCCTACTGCCACTGAAAACAAAAATGAGGTTTGCCCAGTGTGGATAATTTCATAGTTATTCCATATTTCGTAGTATATAGGTACGGTCTTGTCATGCTGAGAACCAAGGGCTTGTTTCCCCAAGTGCTCTGTGTGTACGTAAGTGCTGGCTAAAGATACTTGGCAACTTGCAATGATCCTTAGCAACTTACCAACTCTTGGAAAAAAACAAACCCCAGTATTTTATAACAGTTCAGCAGGAAAACCCAGCTAGAAATACTATCAGAAATGAATAATGGGAGAGTTCAGCTCATTCAAATGCCAAGTTTTTGTGTCACTTTGCTCTTTCTGCACACCGTAATTTGAAGAGCCTGGTCATGCGGCGGTCTAGGGCTGATAGACCTGCCTGGGCAGAGACCGTGGGGATGGAGCCTAGTATTTTCCAGATACCCAAACCATTCTCTTTTGTGCATTCATCCTTATACGTAGCATGAAAAATGCTTTACCTGGAACTTGTCGGGTGCTGGGGGAAACCTCTCCTTCATGGAAAAGCAGAGCCCTCCCTTGGCTCCTGTTTCAGAGAAATCCCAAGAGTTTGTTCTTGGGGTGCTCCAACTTGCCTTGCTGTCCGGAGCCTGTTCTAAAGCTCAAACCACCTAGAATGTCCTGCTGGGCCTTTCCTCCCCTTTTCACAAACAAAACCTCAGTCCTGTGTTGCTCGGGGTTGTGCAGTGCCTGTCGATGAGCATATGCAAGCCGGGAGCAAGATGCTCTTGGTCAAAATTGTTACATGCCAAGCTGAACGTAGGGGACTGCAAATCCACATAGTCTTAATAACATAACGGCCTAGGTGTTTGCATTTCTGGCACCCTCGAGGACAGGGTCTCCTTGGTTGATTTGATAATGCTTTCTTGTACCTGAACTACTTGTGGAGGTTAAAGCAAGGGCACGGGACTCTGGTGAAGGTCAGGAAGGCTTTCCAAGCCCAAATAATTGTCAACGTTACCCAATTATACAGGAGGAGATGACTGCCAGCTCTGTCATGCCCTCTGTCTCTGCTGCAGGTCCCCCACCACTAGTTTAAATGGTATTTCCTTAAAACTTAGGAATTTCTGATAGTCAGTGAAAGCTATTCCTTCATCCTATTGCCCAAGGTGGGGCCAGTGACTTGCTTGACCACATACGTATTCCAGATCACTTTGAACTGAGATTTGGATATATAGAGGGGCAGATCTACTGGTCTGCAGCCAGATGTAACAACTGACCATCCTTGCCAAAAATGTCCTGAGACAGTGATAGTCGACAGTCTTATCCTGCCCTGCGATGCTTTGGTTGGTCTTAAATCGCTGCCCTAGTTCTCTGCAGGACAATCCCCACTTCGACCAAGACTCTCTTACAATTGTCTTTAAAGATGTCTTATGTTTCAGTAAGGATGAATCATCCCATGCTGAAATTTAGAAATCTCTGATGACTACCGACTTCAGCCCTAGGAGTGAGATGGCT